TGGGAGAAACACCAATCACAGCTGAGCAACTACAACCTCCACCCTGGTGGCACTGACGGTGTTCAAACCTCCACAGGAAACTCATCTTTGTGCTTCACAGCTACACATTTAAAGCCCTCATACGTAACTCTGCACCGTTGCCTCTTAGAGAAGGTGCAGATGTTCCTGCTTCTTTCTCCAGCCGCCCATCAGCAGCCCGAGCACACCAGCTCACCGACCATTCTTTACTCTTATTGGACGCATTTACAAACAACATATCTCACTTGAACTGGAGGAAACCACTTGCAATTCTGTTTTTTCTAAATTGTCTGTAGGTGTGATTGGTTGTCTGTCAACAGTCTGAATCGAGAATCATCCACAACCAGAATCAGTACCATCATGACTGGTACCTGAATGCCTCCTGGTCACTACTGCACAGGGTGAACAAGATGTGAATCACTTCTGAGATGTTCTGGCTTCTGTTCTGTGGAGCTGACACGCCGTCTCTCTCCATAAAGACCAGGACGTAGACTGCTAGATGAATAAATACGGGTCTTTTCTTTCTGCAGACTTTTCATGTTTGGATAGAAACCGAGCAAGTCTTGTTCTGTGTCTGCCTTCCTGAGGTGATGGTACATAGAGCCAAAACCAGCATCTGAATTTTAAAGTTTTGAAACCCAGCAAACATACCACACGCATAGCAAGCAGAAGAGGCTGAAACCCTGATGTTAGCAGAACCTCTTCATGGTATGAGCGACTAAACAGAAGCTGCTGGTCTGTAGCAGTGGAAGTAGAGCCCCAAAGAGCAGATAGCTGGAGGGGAAGTTAGATATTTAAATAAGTAAGATTAAGCTCCAAGTGTTGGTAAAACCTGCTTCCCTCCTGGAACTGGATGTCTGAGGAGGATCGGGGTTCTGAGAGGTCCGGTGTGCAGCCGGAGTGGTGGAACCATCAGTCAGTATGAGCTGTGATCGGTGTGATCGGTGAAGGAGCTGCTGTCGCCACCAACACAACGGTTCTACATCATGAAGTGATATTGATGAGATTTACAAAGAGCGCAGTGAGATCCAAACACGTAACAACAAAATAGTACAGTTAAATTTCTGTTGTGTTAAAAGTACGTTAGAAAGCTTCAGGCCACTGAATGCCACATACGGTGGATTCACTTACAATTTGGGGAAAATATCCAACTGCAATTATTCAGGAAGCTGCTGTTCTTTGTGATGTATATTTTCTTGTTGAGTCAAGCTTCAGCTCAGTTTGTGACAGAATTAAACACGCGATGCAGCACGAACACACCAGATCTCATTAGAAGTGTCACACAGGGAGGCCGCATGAATTTATAAAACCGACTGTCACAACAGTTTAAACTGTGATGAGGTGGGGCTCATGAATAATGACATGGTGATGGTCGGTGGAGCCGCGGCGTGCAGCCTGTATTACACATTGTTCAATAGACGGCTTCAATCTGCTCACATTAAATAAAATTCACTCACAGCATTAGTCTATCCTCTTGATTCCTCATTTTTTTACTGTATTGCTACAAATTGCAGTTTCAGTTTGAAATCGACTAACTTCAGCGCTAAATACTATTACTGTTGGTTTTATTCAGCGACCAGATCGACTAGCATGTTTAGCCTAGCTTGTTACAAACACAGGAAGGTAAGTGCTAACTGCTAGCTGCCTAAATCCATTTCACAACAAAACAACTCCAAAACAAGCCAACAGACACAAAGCTGTGGCACTCGGGTGTTGTATAAACCTGCATTAACGCTATGTTGGCGGGAAAAGACGGCCATGTTTGCAACTTGTGACTGTTTATCAGATAACTCAAGCTAGCCAACAGACTGTTTGCTAACAAGCTAACAGCTAACATACGATACAGGAATGTAACTAGAACAAAGTGTAACAGCGTTGCATGGCCGTTGTTTTTTGTTATCAGTTGGACACATGTTGGTTAAAAAATGGTCACGTTTGTTCAACATATACGTATTAAATGTTTAATGAGCCTGAACAGCCGGCTCTGGCTCCACACGTCCATGTTTGTCCACTTCTGTCAAAACTTCTGTTCTTTTTAGCACAAAGTCAAAAATGTCAGAAATTTACCAAATTTTGTTTTACTAATCCTAAAAACGAACGTTGATGTGGCACGAGTTTGGCTCTAATTATGGAACTCCAAAATGATGCTCATGTGGCAAAATTGGCTAAAGCTAATGTTTCCCACATCTGACAACAACATGAGCACGCCAACGGCGGCGCGTACAATCAGCTGACCTCAACATCATGTTACACTGATTTTTTGTTATTTTTATTTTATTTTATGACTGCTAACATATTCTCAATAAGTCTGGACAGACATTTTTTGGTTACTGGCACACGGTTTGTGAATGTATTGATGCTATTGGCTAATATTAGCAAAAAATATCACTAAATTTATCACTCTGAGTCAATATACATTTATTTCAGCTGGTCTCCACCAACTCCTGAGGAAAATATCCAGAATGCTAATTTCTTCACTCCTCTCAGCAGCTAGCTTTATTGCTAACTGTAGGTTTATGTGAACACAGCTGCAGGCTAACAAGGTAAGAGCTCCGAGGCTGAACCGTGTGGGAAAACGGGAGGCCATAAATAAAAATAATGAGCTAAAAGTGGCTAAAGAAGAGGCATCAAAGATACCGTTTACAGTATACACATTACTTTTACTACAGTGCTGATATAATTTTATCGCCTTTATAGGAATGCAACCGCTTCAAAGTCAACTTGTGTGCGTATTATGAGGCTTTGGCCGCTAAACGCTGGGCTACAACAGAGACGTACAGTGAAAGCAGCACAATGTGATTTCAGGAGCCGTTAGCGTTGGAACTATTTCCTGATCAACAACAGCTGGGCGCCGTGGCTGCAAGCAGCATCTGTAAAACCCTCGTCCTGAACGCTGCAGAGCTTCAAACATGGCTGAAACCACAGTGACTCCTGGTGCAAACAAGAAGCTTAGAAGCTGCATGAAGAACGTGGTGATGTTTCAGGTGTGATGGAGCTCAGCAGCTTGTTTCCTGACAGCAGTCTGCTGAGCTGGATCCATCAAAACAAATACGCAGGTTTAGCTCAAACATCAGATTTTTACCTGAACATCACTGCTAAGCTCACACCACCACACACCTGCACAGGTGTTATTACATTTAACTACCACTGTTATTGTATTGTTTTATAGCTCGACAATATAATTAGCTGTAATGACTTCCTCTTGCCACATGAACGTGTACGACACCTCAGATAACACAATGAAGAGCTGCCGTCCTCCAGCTCCAAGGTAAACACACCGGATCTCCTGCTCATCATGTTTAGACAGCCGAGGACAGCCCGGCTGAAGTGGATCACACTTTACAGTGAGTCCCCTCCAGGGTTCAATTATTAGATCGCTGCTTTTCATTTTGTTCAAGCGCGGTGACTCCATGGATCATGATTATGTTGATGATACATGGTCCAGATGGCACCATGACACAGTCAGACATCAGCACCTCCTCTGAGAAGGTAGCACACCGGAGGTCACAACACTGTTATTGATCAACCACCCAGCATCCTGACATGAAATCCCTCTCCATGACTTGGGCCTGACATTCATTTTCTAAAATTAGGGTTTTCCAGAATGTGATTTAAATGACCTGCGTTGATGGAGGTCCAGATCAGGAGACGGAATAATTGGATTGTGCTTTAAGCTGGGATGTTCGGTGCAGGCAAAGCCGCTTTAACAGTGGTTTTGTTTGCAAAAGACAAGTCCTCTGTTTGGTTTTTATAATCACATAAAGTAAAAGTTATAAATGATGCAGTGATCAGCATCACTGGAGGAGTCTGGTGACCACATGAGGACCCACAGAGCAGCCATGTACACCTAATACACACATATATAAATATCTCTGCATGTCTGTGTGTATATAAGGTGTGCAGAGCTACATGCTGCTGCTCATCTCCAGCAGCAGCTCCGTCCTGGAGCCTCCACAGCCGGCGGCCAGTGAAGGGTTAACGTTCAGGCGCGTAAATGCTGTTCGCGGCTCCGAAGGCTTGTTCGCCAAAAAGAGAATTAAACAAACGACGTGTTAACACACAAAAGAAACATAAGAAGAAGAAAGAAAGAAAGAAAGGGGAAAGACACCCCGGAGTGCAGCCGAACAACGGCACAGAGCCCAGAGCCCAAGCCGAGCGCGGAGCCCGAGCTGCGCGACAACAAGCCGGACAGCAGGAGGGAATAGAGCCCGGCGCTCGGCGGGGAAAGTGATGAGCGGCTCCGTCTAATCACTGGCGAGCAGGCAGCTATTACCCGCAGCCCAAAGTACAGAAACAAGCAGCCACATGAACGCAAATAAATGTGTGATCGGCCCCGTTATGCTGAAGCTGGACGGACAGCCAGCACGGGCTGCTGTCAGCCATAGCTGCTGCCAGGGCAGGAAGGCTTCTGCGGGGCAGGAAGGCTTCTGCGGGGCAGGAAGGCTTGTGCGGGGCTCAGCCTGAGCTTCGGCTCGGGTCGTGATTTCCAGCAGGCAGCCGGGTCCCGGGAAGCGGCTCGTCCTGCGGGGGCGAAATGCGCCTTAGCGAACAATAAAAGAAACGGGGAGACGAAGGGAGCCACCGAGGCTCCTCCGCCGCCTGCCCGCTCCTCACGACGGGGAAGGCGGCTTCGGCTTGGCGGCTAATGCGGGAGGCGGCGGGAGGCGGTGGAGGAGGGGGCAGCCGTTAAGCCCCGAACACCGATTGTGCTCCATAAACGGCCGCATTTTCTCCACAAACGGAGAATCTGTTTTGTGTTATTCGCGATAAAATGTCACAACCCCGGTCGGCTGCGTTTAACTCCGCCTTCTCCTCCGTCTCCTCCGCGGCCTCTCCTCAGATGCAGACGGGCGACGGAGAGCCACAAAGCTGTCAAACGCAGCCAGACCTCTTCGCCATTTTTGTTTGTTTCTCCTCCGCGAATGCAAAGCGGCCGCACAAAAACACAGCGCGAAGCAGCGGGCGAACAATGCGGGCCTTACCTGCCGTGGAACCAGTCCTTGCAAGCATCGCACTCGATCATAAACTGGGTCACGTCGTAAGGTAATCTGCAGATGCAATACACTGGTACAGTCGCCATGTTCAATTCACAACTACGTCGGGATAGACTGGGGGGGCTGCAGGAGGAACAACGTCCTGCAAACAATATGATCCAATATGATCTTCCCCAGAAAAAAAAAAGCCAGGGGCAGTCCCGCCGGACACATGAAGCTTCAAGCGCGCAGCTCCATCACAGCGCGGCCGTGTTGGGTGCGTGCGGAGCGGCGGCGGGTCGGCGGCAGGCTTTCCTCAAATGCATGATTATTATTATTATGATCGCGGCTACTATGTGCGGCCCCCTGCTGACTGAGGCGCTCATGTTAGGGAAGGAAAACGGAAAGAAGCTTCGGGCTTTTTCTCTTTTTTTTTCTGGGAGGGGAAATAATTAAATAAAGTGAATAGATGGTAAAGTTACGTCAGGAGGGGCGAGCAGCTAAAACATAAAAATAGATGAATGAGTGGATCAACAATGCAGATAATTGGATTAAAAAATAAAAATGTTTAGCTGTTACATAATTATGTGACGAGGCGACAGAATACAGAATAAAACAAATATAAATATATGGACGTGTTTTATGAAGCCTGATGCAATTTGTTCAGTTTATCAGTAAGTAGGTTATGTAATGACAATAAAATACATTATTATCTATTAAATGAGCAGACTTTTGGATTTGCCTGGTTTTATTCTCCACTATAATAAAAAAAATAAATATATATGTATATTAATGTATGTGTGAATGAATATAAATAAAATGTGTGTTTCTCTGGAAGCTGTATAGAGTTTCATTGGTGCCTTTGTCAGTTTGTTTGGTACATTATTGTACCCTGTATGTTATCAATTGTTATTAAAAAGGATAAATATGATAATTAAAATATATGTTTTTGTGTCAGAAGTTGGTCATCTATGTTGGTTTATTCTACATTATGATGTAAGGAGATAAAACATGCAGAGAATATAACTGAATATTCAATTTAATAAACAATATGTGTGTTTTTTACAAGCTGCACAGAGTTTGTTGGTGCATCGCTTTGTTTGTAAATGATGTTATAAATGTGATTGGTAGCATTTATTATAATATATAATA